TCACATCAAAAATTTATATAGCTTAAAGAGAGAGCTTAAACTTCAGATAGCTTAAAGTTCAGATAGAAAATTTACTATGTGCAAATTTCAATGCCTCAACAATGCTGAACAAATGAATACTTTTAGTCTTAGAAAAGCATGAGTTTCTTATCTAGTAAAATACAGTATGTATTTATAAAAAGAAGTAATGTCATTTGAACTTAAATGCCTTTACTATGTTTCGTTAGAGTATTATAGGTAAAACAACACTGCTAACCTAGGTTTCATTTCAGATTCACTGTATTTGATCAGAGATAACAGTGCTTTTCTTACTGGGTTTGCTGCATTCTGTTTCCAAAGGTGCAGTGCTCCATGGAAAGCATGAGCGATGATCATGGAGCCATCTTCGTTGAACTGGCAATCATAAAATCCCAGCGTATTTCCACCTACTTCCCCTACACGAACCTATGCAATAAGAGACAGAAAACAATTCATAATCAACAGTCCACATTTCTCACAAGAAAAACCATTGATTCCAGAAATTATATTCTCACTTGCTTAACATATACAAAGAATAAACATTTGCAGCTCTAGGAATATAGACTTGGGATTTAAGTTTTTAAACCCAATTTTTTATTCCTTAAATGTCCACATTTTTACCTGTTCTAGCCAAACTCCTGACTCTTCATCTGGAGCCCAGAGAATCATAGTTTTATCCATTGAAGCAGACAACAATCTCATTGGCTGCTGTAGAACACCATCTAAAATGTAAAAACCAATGACTTTAGGTGATCAACAGGCATCATGTTTAGAGATTACCAGAATAACACGGATACTGCAAAAATGTCCACTACAGCATTACAATAGCAAAATTTTGGAAACAACACAACTCTCTACCATTAGAAGAACAGATAAACAAGTTGTTATATATTTAGACAATGGAATATTAAACTGTAATAAAAATAAACAAACTAGGGCTACATGAATCAACATGAATACAATTCCAAATGTTTAGCATATTATGTTAAAAAGGCAAGTTGTAAGAGGATAAATATATATTGATATCAAGTTTCAATAGTTATAAAACAATATTGTTTATGGCTACATAAATGTGTAATTAAAATATAAAACCATGCATGGGAATGACAGTGCACTGAATTCAGTATTGTAGTTGCCTCTAGGGAAGGGTGGAGGGGAAAGGGTTCAGGAAAAAATACACAGAGGTCCTCAGTATCTATAATATCTAATTTTTTTTTTAACTGCAGCAAATATGGCATAATAAAGCTGAATAGCAGTTACCTGAGCATTAATCACTGCTATTCTCTACTCTTGTCTCGGGAAAGAGGCTGGAGGAAGAATAAGAGGCTGTGCCTTACTCAGCCCTACACCCAGCACCAGCTTGAGCATGCACACAATTGTCACTCCACACATGGAGGTTAAGGGCAAAGGAAAGAGAGGAAAAGAATCTTATTTTTTCATAAATGATGTGTCTCAGTATTACCAACTTTGTAGTACCAAGGATAAAGGATCCAGTGAAGTTGGCTTGAAAGTCAATCTCTTAAATCCCATAAAGACTAAGTGAAAACTTTTAAGATAAAAAATTAATAGGGGTGTGGTGGTTTCGGCATATCATGGCAGGAATCATACTTTTCCCACCCAGGACAACTTTCAGTGGAATTGAGTGTCTAGCAGAACAGGGCTACAGTACTAAACTTTGCCAACTTGAAAATGTCTTATATTGAAAATTTCCAATCGCAGTAAAGAAGATTCTCCATTTCACCTGGTTAACTTAAAATTCTGTATGTGAAATTTAATGGAAATGAGGGATATGTGTATGTTTTTCTTCCTACCTTTGTAAAATGAAGGCTGCCAATGAACTGCATTTACCCAGTTTTCATGACCGGCCAGAACAGTCTCCAGAGTAACCGCAAATGCGATTTTAGTACCTATAACAAAAGCAATGAAGTATTCTTTCCTCAAAGCTCTTCTAAAAATAACATTTTTCAAAAAAACTCCATTGTACAATTATGTCCAGAAAAAAAATCAGAACATGATTTAGTCAACAAAAAGAACATGCATTCTAAATTTCATTAACTTCACCTATTGTTCAAAATTACAGGAGAACAACTTTCTAAAGATGGATAATTTTGCTCTACCTGCTCATAAATAAATATTAAAGAGTATGTTCTATTTTAAATTTCTGGGACAGCTGTTATATGGCAATTAAAAAGCAATAATACACATGCCAGCCTCCTAGCTATTCTCACTCATTACCACAGTGTAATAACCTAAAATACCATTCCATTTAAAAAATAAATAAGATAAATGCAGAAATAAAGGAAGTCAAATCAGTATTGTGACTTTTCAAACANCCGTGAATTTCTGTCATAAATTGAAGCTGAGTAAACTGACTTGCTCGATCATATAGCACAGTTCAATGGCTTACCAGTGGTAAAGTTTTACTGAGTTTTTTTTTTAACTTTACTGGGGAACAGTGTGTTTTTTCCAGGACCCATCAGCTCCTAGTCAAGTTGCTGTCCTTCAATCTTAGTTGTGGAGGGCTCGGCTCTCAATCCAGTCGCCATTTTCAATCTAGTTGTGGGGAGGACAGCCCACTACCCCATGCGGGAATCGAACCAGCAGCCTTGTTAAGAGCACGTGCTCTAACCAACTGAGCCATCCAGCCACCCACCAGCAGCTTAGCTCATCATTGTCTTCAATCTAGTTGTGGAGGGCGCAGCTCACTGGCCCATGTGGGAATCGAACCATGACCCTGTTGCTCAGAGCTCGCGCTCTGACCAACTGAGCCACCCGGCTGCCCCTATTGAGATTTTTTTTTTTTTGAGCTCAGAGCCACAACTGAAGTTTCCTGAACAAAAATCGCCCTCAACCACTATTCTCTAACACTATATAACTAGAAATTAGCTTTTACTGCAGGCTTGATAGTGTTTCCTAATGAATTAAACCTAAAATTATAAGGTATAACAGAACTCGTATGTGGAATTGAAGTAAATATATTTTGACAACTAACATTTGAATTGTAAAGAGTACATGTAAGTTTTTAAGAAAACACCACACTTTTCCAGAGTGGCTGAATCATTGTGCACGTCCACCAGCAATGTATGCAAGTTCCCGTTGCTCTGCATCCTTATCACCACTTGTTATTGTCAGTATTTTTTACTCTAGCCATTCTAGAGGGTGTGTAGTGGCTTCTCACCATGGTTTTAATTTGCATTTCCCTAATGGCTATTGATGTGGCCCCACTTTTCATGTGCTCATGGATGTTTTTTAAAGTGGATCGGTCAAGTAGGACGACATTTTACCTGTGCTTGGTCTTTTTTCTTCCATGGAGCAAAAAGTCGAGTTGTCTGGTCAGTACCAACAGTGATGATAAATTCTCCTTCTGGATCCCACATTAGGTCTTGGACACCATCAAAGTGTCCTGAAATGACAATCTCTGGCGTCCACTCTATCTGCAACAAAAGTGCTCATGATACATCAAAATAAAGACAACCACCACTCAAAATAAAGTCTGAAAATGCCTTCAGCCATCAGGTCTGATAATGGGAAAGACTGAAGCCCCTGAGCAAGGTGAAAAGCTAAGTAAACCAGACAGAATCTTAAAATACTAGGATCTGTTTTCCAGTCAAGCATATTAGAACCTTAAACAGTCAAATATGTTCTGTGTTCTTTAAAGCAGTAACTTTGGGAAATTTCTCTCCATTCATCCTTTATTAAATGTTTCCTAGAAGCTTGACAGTACTTAACCTTTTTGTACCTAAATTAACTCTTCTGTCAAAGAGTTACCTAGTTCACAGGGTCATTATGATGATTAAATGAGTTTAGGTTTGTAAAGTACACAGAATGATCCTGGCATACACTAGGTACTATGTGAGTATTTACTTGTTAAACTAAGTAACAAAGAAAGAGTATTGTGTAAAATGAGTTAGTAGATTCTGACTGTATGCCTGATGGCTTTATCAAAGAAGAGGAGTTGCAGGTGTAGAGGAAAGAAGGCTGAATCAAACCCAGCTGGCCTATATCTGAGGAAGCCTATATCAGCAACTAGGTAAGCAAACAGTGACCACGAAATATAGCAAATATCATATGCCTGGTAAACAAAGCATCTTTTTGAACCACCTCAAATGGTGGTAAAACTTGTCTTTAGAGGAAAATTAAATTTGTGTAAATGGCTAAAAGGTCATTCAAAGCCAAGTTTGATGAATACAACCAGTAATTAAGCTAAGCTGTATTATATTCTGGTCAAAAAGTAAAAAGGCTGTGACAAAGAAATGCTATTAATTCCTCTGTGACATAAAAACTAATTCTAAATTTAGCACTAATGGGAGTTTCCAAAATGTTCTGAACAACGGGTAGCACTTTTGGACTATCAGTACAGTTTTCCACTGTACTAAAGGGCAGTGTTTTGTTTTAAAAAAATCAGTCTTGATGATAACAAATGTACCTCTTTGGTTTGGAATGTTGACAGTGGAGGAGGCTGTGCTTGTATGAGGGCAGGGAAATATGGAAACCCTGTGTATTTTCTGCTCAACTTTTCTGTGAACCTGAAACTGCTTTAAAAACTAAAGTCTTATTAAAAAAAATTCCCTCAATATTTGATAAGTAGATATTATAAATTTGAAATCAAATTATAACCACAAGTACAGTGAAATGAAATTCTGTCTTCTGGTTTTTCTCCTTACTCATCTGATACATTTTTCTATGAAAGCTCTCAAATACTACCTAAAATATGGCTCAAAGGAGCTCCGAGTTAAGAAT